TACATACATACATTACATACATACATACACATACATACATACATTAATTACATACATACATACATGCATACATATATACATTACACTGTAACATACATACATACATACATTACATACATCACATTACATTACATTACATTACATTACATTACACTACATACCTACATGCATACATACATTGCATGCATACATTACACACATACATACATACATACATACATACAAAGATATATACATATTACATTACATTACAATACACTGCATTAACACACATACACACATACATAAATACATACATACATACATTACATTACATTACATTACATACATACATACATACATTACATATACATACATACAAACATACATACATACAAGACATACAATACAAAACAATACAAAACATACATACATACATACAAACACAAATACATACATACATACATACATACATACATACATACATTACAAACATACATACATACATACATACATACAAACATACATACACACATACATACAAACATACAGACATACATTACATTACAAACAATACACACATACATACATACATACATTACATTACATACATACATACATTACAATACAATACATTACAATACATTACAATACATTACAGTACATACATACATTACATACATACATACATACATACATACATACATACATACATACATACATACATACACACATTACATACATGCATACATGCATACATACATACATTACATTTCATTACACTACATTACATGACACTGTGTACATACATACATACATTCATGACATATAATACATACATACACATACATGCATGCATGCATACATACATTACATTACATTACAATAAACTACATTACCTACATACATACATTAACAAACATGCATACTTTACACACATATATTACACACATTACATACATACGCACGTACGTGCGTATGTACATACGTACAGAGACACATTACATACATACATACATACATACATACATACATTACATTACATTACATTCCACTACACTACACTACATTACATACACACATACAGATATTGCATTACACTACATACATGCATACATACATTACTTTACATTACATTGCATTACAATACAATGCATTACCTACACTACATTACATTACATTACATACACACATACATATATTGCATTACACTACATACATGCATACATACATTACATTACATTACATTACGTTACAGTACAATACATTACATTACATACAGACATTACATTACATTACATTACATACATACATGCATACATAATTAGATTTCATTACATGGCATTACATGTATACATACATATATTACATTACACATTACATTACATTTACCATTACATTACATTTACCATTACATTACATTTACTCTTACCACTACCATTACCAATACCATTACATGACATGACATACTTACATTCCATACGTACCATACATACCGTACATACCATACATTCCATACATACCACACATACCATACATACCATACATATAATACATACCATACATACCATACATACAATACATTCAATAGATACAATACATACAATACACACAATACATACAGTACAATACATTACAACACATTACAATACATTACAATACATTACAATGCAATACAATACATTACAACACATTACAATACATTACAATACATTACGATACATACATACATTACATACTTACATACACACATACATATACATACATACATACATACATTAATTACATACATACATACAGACACACATACATACATACATACATACATACATACATACATACATACGTGCATATATACAACCATACATAGATATTACATTACATTACATGACAATACATTGCAACAATACGCACATACATACATACATACAAACAAACATACAGACATACAATACATTACATTACATTGATACACACAGACATACATACATACATACATACATACATACATTCATACATACATTACATACATTACATACATTACATTACCTACCTACATACATACATACATACATTACATATAAATACATACATACATACACACATACATACATACATACATACATACAATACATACAATACAATACCTTACCATACAATACAATACAATACGTACATACATACATAGGGTCGGGAGTTATAGCCACCCGGGGGCTATGTAAAAACCAAATGCATCACCAGCGCACCAGCATCATCATCACCCCCCATCAACCCCCCCCCGCCAGAACACAGGAGAACAGAAGAGACGGTTTCAAGCCCTGCACACGCGTGCGGATCAATCTCCGCGCAACCCCCGCCATGGTCAATCCTCGGGTCAATCCCCTCGGATCGCGTGCTCAGGGCATGAAACTGTCTCTTCTGTTCTCCCCTCTTCTAGCAAATCAAAGTCAACCTCAGAAGAACACTCCCCTCGCACGGTGCCTGAAGTACGACGGCGCGCTCTCGATTTCTGCGTCCTCCTCCACCGTTAGCTTGCCTTCCTGCGTCTCTGCCTGCTTGCTTGCTTGCCCACTTGTCTGTTAGCTTGCCTTCCTGTGTGACTGCTTGTCTGCTTTTCTTTCTCCTGCCTGGCGCCTGTCTGTGCGCCTGCTTTCTTGCTTGCTTGTCTGTTCGCAGGTCTTCTTGTTCTGCTCGTCTGCTCGCCTGTTGCCTGCCTGCGTGCTGTCCTGCCTGCCTGCCCTGCCTGTTTTCTTGTTTGCTCGCTTGCTTCCTGCCCGGGCGATGGCTTGCCCGCGTGCTTTCTTGCTTGCGCGTCTGTCTGCCGGCCTGCCGGCCTATTGGGATATGGGAGCCGCTTCAATCGGAAACTGGCACAGCCGCCGGGCAAAGCACGCGGACAAACAAGTAGGCAAGCAAGCAGGCACGCAGACAAACAGCCAAGACAACAAGCAGCAACACAGACAAGCAAGCAGGCACGCAGGCAAGCAGCCAAGAAAACAAGCAGCATGCAAACCAGGATGCACGAGGACGCAAAAAAAAAGAGGAAGGCCCGGCAGGCAGGCAGGCAGGCAGGCAGGCAGGCAGGCGGGCAGGCAGGCAGGCAGGCAGGCAGGCAGGCAGGCAGGCAGGCAGGCAGGCAGGCAGGCAGGCAGGCGGCATCACAGACACAAGAATCCCTCATCCCGCGTCCCCACATCATCCAAACTGGGGGGTCGGGTGGCGAGTTGTGATCTTGACGAACGGCGGGCGGCGGGTGTCGGCGGCTATGATGTCTGACTCTCCGTGCAGTGATGTCTGACTCTTCGCGCGGTGATGTCTAACTCTTTGCGCGGTGATGTCTGACATTTGGGTGTTTGACTTTCTGGTTGGATGTCTGAATTTATCTTCGCTGATGAAATCTAGCGCACCTATACATGCAGGATCACGCATGCAGCTGAACAGCCATACATCTATACAAGAACAGCTGTGGGAGTGCATTGTTTGCTATATTTCAAGCTTTCTGGAGTATCGTTCACAAGACTTACATATTCAAGAAAGAGAGCGGGACGCTGTGAGCTTGTGCTCGTTTCACGTTTTGGGTGGAAACTCCAGTTGACCTATGTTTGAATAATTTGAGTTGACACGATAGATGTTGTGTAAAGGAATTTGATTGAACATAAATTCCAGTGTAAAAAGTTGCTTGAAATAGAATACATCAAGCTGAATCTAAATTCTGATGTAACATGGACATCATGCTTGGATGATGCCCTTGTCAAGTTCGGCTTAAACTCTAATTGAATTATAAAGTTCTATTGCGAAAGGATTTCTATCTAATTCAACATAATATGTTCTTTCCAGTAGAACTCCGATCAAGTGCTTCTTGATTTGAGTCCCATTTAAATTCTATTCAAACTCAAATTGAGTATTAGAGAGCGGCCATTGGCGGAGATGCGAATTGGGTACTCACAACGCTGTGTTTAACGGTGTTTTCTAACCATGGTGATGGGGCCAGTCTTTTTTCTTTTAGGACCTCTGAATTCTTGCTTTATGATTCCTACTTAATATGTTTAATATATTCTACGCAGCTTCTAACTAAAATGAAATTGAATTCTATGAGGAAAGACTACAATAATGGATATTCAACTTTGATTTTGGAACATAAGTAGTTCAAATTGAATGTCACTCCAATAGGATTGTCTTTACACAACAGTAAACTTTTAAACACAATTTACTCAGAGTACAGGGGAATGCCAATTGCTTGAGCAAAACTGCACAAATAGGTCTCATTGTCTTCAGAATGCTTCAATATGCAAGAAAAGCAGTGGGGGAACCAGAGCACAAGATTGCAGACCCCAAGGCTTGCCCAAGGTAGACGGGACGGGGGGGTTGGGTCTGCAATCTGGTTTTTGTTTCTCTTTTTTTAATACATCAAGAACTAGAAAAAAAAAAAAAACAAGATTGCAGACTCCAAGGTCGAAGGAAGGGGGGTTGCGGTTTGCAGTCTTGTCTTTTCTGTTTCTTGAGTCTGCTTTTGGTTGTTTGGTGTTGTTCTCATTGACTGGCTTTGCGCAGGCGTGCCTTTGTTTAGGCATGTGCAGAGGCAGTCCTTGGCAGAGGAAGATCATCTGGATGTGATTGGAAAGGGTTGAACGAAGTCAAAAAGTGCACTCCCAGGGTGTCCTGCTTTGTTTGCAAACCTACACAGCACATCTGCCTGCCGTACGCCTGGACGCAAACATCAATGAATGTTCTCTTTTGTTTTCCAATTTTCATCTCAACTGTGTCATGACTCAAGCTGGCAAATGAGCCGGCGAGCGTTGGCAGGATGCAAAGAGCAAGTTGCACCCATGCTCCCTGTCGGCCAGGCTCATTGTCATTTGGGTAGCATCATGAGCCCAAGTCAGAATGGCACAGAATGCCATTTGAATGTGCCACGCGATAAACGACTTGCAAAATTGATCTGCAAAGAAGAAAACAAGACCCAACCTGTAAAAGCACACATCAGCAAGCCTGCTTGGGATGCACTACGGCTTGCCTGGAAGTCAGGCATCTCCCGAGGTTCTTCTCCTGGCAAAGGATCCTTTTCAAGAACTACCAGGCGCTGGTTGTGGAGCGCACGCCCGTAGGGAATGGAGACCTGGTCCTCCTCTGGAGCTGTCAAGACCTCGTGGAAGTTTGACCTCGCTTGGCAGTGAGAAGTAAGATAAAATAAAAGCAAGCAGACAGCTGCGGAAAGAAAAGATTGGGCTTTGCCAGTGCTAACATCTGCTTGACTGAGAAAGCCAGACACAAAACCAATGCCAGTGGACGAACCGGGTCACCAAATCGAAGCTTCGGTGGCGCCGCCCAAGCAAATTAGCCGGCAGCGTTGCCAGTTCTCTCTGCAAAGCTTCACTGGGATCCAGTCCCCACTAAGCAAGGCAGCGCGAGGGAAGTGCAAAGCGCCGCCACCCTGGAAAGCTGCAAATCGGGCAAAAGCAAACTCCATGCATCTTTGGCTTGGCAGTGCGCGATGCAACCATCAATTTAATCAGAAATCGAAATTAGGTGGTTTTCCAATATCAACAAGGCCTGCCTGATAATGAGTAAGGAGCTGGAAAGCCATGGGAACCGAGTTCCAAATAGTCACGCTGTGCTCCTCCAAGGCTTTCTTCCAGCTGTGAGGATTCTCAGTGTCATCTGCTCCGCACAGGACCAGTGCAGCACCAGCAGACAAAGTCCCGAAGATGTCCCAAACAGATAGATCAAAGCTTAGGGAAGCCAACCCGAAGCAAACATCTTCTTTGCTCAGCTGCAGCAGGGCGTTGACCTCCTTGCAGGTGTTCAGGGCAGCCTTGTGCTGGATTGCAACCCCTTTTGGCTTTCCAGTGGACCCCGAGGTGTAAATTACGTAGGCCAGGTCATTGCAATCCTGAAACGTGCAACAAGGCTCCAGCGCTGAGAAGTGCTCCTTGACCTCGAGAATGGCAACATGGGCACCTGCCCATTCACAAGCCCGGCGTCGCAGAAAGGGCTGAGTCATAATGCATCTCGCCCCGCTCTCCTCAACAATGTCCTTCACATAGCTGTCAGGGTTGGAGGCGTTCACTGGCACATATGCACCGCCAGCCAGCAAGATTGCCAAGACCTCAGCATAGGCACCCAGCCTTCATGCAAGATGCGGCTTTTGCTTCTGCTACTGGTCTCATTTACTGACCAGTCCATCGTGAAAGCCACCCCCTCGCTAACACACATGCTAGTTACTGAAAGTCTCACTCCACAAGCCACACACGCAGGCTGAGGCCGCCGACAGCCACAACCTGTTCCCATCCCTTCTGCATCACCACTGCCGAAAGCTCCTTTTCCAAGGGTTGCTTTCTCAGCTCCTGCGCAAAGTACGCAACTAAGTGCCCCATGTCGTTGTATCTCAAATATTTTCCACTCGCGGCCTCCACCACAGCATTGCGTAGGCCATGCTTGTGGATTGTCTTGAGCACTGAGGTCTCCAGCCTACCACCAGCTGCTTCCTTCGCCTCAAAGGATGCATGGGGCCTGCGGGGATCCTGAGGCAATATCTGGCCGAGGAAGCTGCTGCAAACAGCTTGTGCCAAATGAGTCTCCAATTCCTGCATAACGGTTTGCGCCCATTTGAGGGGGACAACATGCGCTGCCACATCCATGGACAAGAGAAGCACGTTGTCCAACTGCTCCATGAACTGGAAGTCCAAGGACACCTGCGGGGTCTGCGTGACAGCATACTTCACGCCCAGGTGAGGCAGGGATTCAGGCTTCCACGGTCCATATGCCAGCAAGGAAGTCACGACCACGTCAAAGAGCATTGTGCCATCACCATGACAGCGTCGCACCTCTTGTTGTAGCTCAATGCCACAGCACGGCTCGCTGATAGCTGTTGCAACCTGCTCCTGCAAGTCTAGAGCACGATGCAAGAAAGTTGGCCCAGGGCGACAGGCAATCAAGTGGCAGTTGGTGAAGTCACCCACCAAGCCCGTAGCACCAAGCTCTGCAGCCAGCTCGAACCTCTTTGTCAGGGTCATGTTCAAGGTAAAGTCCTTGCTGTGCCCTGTATGGCATCGGAGAACATCTTGGAAACAGCATGTGAGCGCTGCACTGGGCGTCAAGCCATGCTGCCTGCAAAGGGCCAGGAAGGCCTGCCAGGTGTCTGAACTTAACGCTCCCCAGATTCTCCTGATGTCCACTTCCTTGGGCATGTGGATCCTCGGCACTGCTGGGGGGCCAGGCAAAGCTTGAGCCCGCCGCTTCCATGAGTCCGTCAACGGAGGGGTCTTGACGGCGAGCTGCATTGCCTCGCTGAACACATCCTTTGGCAGCCCCTCTGCAGGGAGGCTGCCCTCGTACAACGCATCAAGATACTTGGCCAGCTGCAGCACGCTGCCGGCATCCAACGCTATGAGCTCGACGCGCGCCATAAGCCGCACCACACCCCCAGGCAGGCGCGCAGCCCGCAAGTCCCAAAGCCCATCAGATCCTTGGCATGTTTCGCGGAGCTTGTGCAAGTCCAGATCTGCATCGCTGGCACCGCGCAAGTCAGAGCATGGCAACTCCCAGCTGCTATAGGCAGTTGGGTCTTGCACCTCCTGCGGTTGGAGGGGCTTGACACAACCACTAAGACTTTTAGGCAGGGACCGCAAGCATTGGAACACTTGGTTTTTGGCCGCAATCTGACCTGCCTGTCTCTGGCCAAACTGAGTGATCTGCACCCGCAAAGCGGCGTGCCAGCTAACCAATGTTCTGAAACACGCCGAGAACCTCGCTGTGTCCAGCTCCTTGAAATCGGATTCCCAAAATAGCCTGCAGCTGGTGCCCCCGAGCTGCTGCCCCTCGTGGCTCCCCTGATAATACGCACGCTGGAGAGCGGTGGTTGGCAGATGGGCCGAAACATTCGCAATCGGATCAGCCGTTGGCCTGGCCTCGGGCAGCTTCCAGTACTTGACATCCTTGATGGGTGTGCATTGCAAGTCAATCCTTGGCGGGAACATCAATTTCTGCCCTGTCTCAATCTCTTGTCAAAGCCACTTCTGCGGCAACTCAAAGTCCGGCCATAGCGCCTTTCATCAAAACGGACACACCCAGAACAACACAGGCAAACCACCAAACAAACCAAAGCAAAAAACAACGCGAAACAAGCACAACAAGCATTTCCTTGGCTCATGAGAAGAGCAAGCAAATGGGCTTGCAGAGAGTAAGAAGAGCAGGCAGCGGGATGGCGGGAACAGGCTGGCTTGGATGGCCTGCACCGGTGGGGATTGGTGTTGCCTGTCTCAAAGCGCACCCCTCCGGATGTTTTCCTGCCGTTCATTCTCACTCGATACCGATCCGCGCTGCAGACTGCAGATTGAGGAGGATTTGCCTTTCTATTACTATTACGACAATGGATGGCTTTCATTGGATATGCTGGAGCCCAGCTGCTACACACCGCTATGATTCTGTCCGGTTGGCGGCCCTGCTGCGAGGTCCTATGCTGCAGTTCGGCGTCACCATTGGTGTTAGCAAGGTCTCTGGCACATTGCTTGTACTTACCAATAGGTTGCTTGGCTTTGGGCAATCCACAACATACCACAGAAGTCATGAATTCGAGGGAAGATCCGAAAAGTGCTCCAAAGAAAGTTATAAGACACCGCAATCACTCATCAAAACGGCAACAACAGAGAATTCAGTCGCCGAGTCATGAGCAAAACATCAATTTCAATACCTCTGCCAAAAGCAAGAAGTACTCAGCAAAAGCAAGCAGAACGCATGCTCTTTGTGCGAATACGCCATGCACATAGACATGACACAAGACTCACCTGCCAATCACGGAAATGCAGGAGCGTAGGTTCGCACTGCGCGGCTGGTTCTTATAGGCGTGACAGAACCAGGGCATCACGGAGGCCGTGGCCACCCATGCAGAGTACGCGACCAATGCGCCAAAGCCAGGTAGCCAGAGATCTCAACACCAACAAATGAAAAACAGGACCCAAGCATGAAGGGCAGAAAATAGGCAAGATCGCACGAGAGAAAGTAAAGGTAATTCAACGACCTTGATCTGATGGGTCCGACCAAGAGCCCGGTAGCGTTGGCACCAAGGTCCACAGCATCTCCGGAATTTCGTTTTCTGTCAAAAGAATCAACAGTACAGCGCGAAACAGTGCATCGCCAGGGATATACAGTGAATGCATCGCCATCGAGAAGAAAATCAATTTTAGGTGCCATGCCAGGGCGTTTACACACCTTCTTTATTAATTATCTGGCACCTTGCTCGTTCGAAGGCCTTGTGGCTGAATCGGCGAGGGTTGCCACGGGAGCCACGCGCTGCAGGCGATGCAGAGGCTGTCCTCAACCTTGTCGCCGAACGGGCACCTTGTCGGCGCCCATCGAGTTTCTCAGTTGGTGGTCGAAGGCGTGAACTCGGAATTCGAGGGTAGCCGAGTCCGAAGGTGCATTCGCAAATCCGTATATGGATTCTTGCGACTCCATATAGCGCTCGGCACTTTGATTCCCCGACGCCGCACGCTTCCGCCCTCACGTTGATATTGCGGCTGTGACATGCCAGTCCATCCATGACTCGCCTTCCTTGAAGATGGCCTCCAAGAACGGGGCACTGGAAGATCTGCTTCGAGGGCATGTTTTTGTTGAACGATGTCGTGCAACTCATCTGGTTGATATAGAACGGCTGTGTTGGAGGTCATGTTGGTGCGGCTGTTGACGTGACCTGCGCGTTGGATGCGGTGATGGACGGACCATCTTCTCTTGAAGGTCCCTCGAGCAAGCGTGCGCCGGCGCCGTCCAGAGAAAGGCACGATGTTGGCTGTCACCAGTCCTGGCACTTGGGCCCAGGCCAGAGAAACCGGAGTGGCCTGGCAGTTTCTGAGCTGAGGCAATGCGCTTCAGTGCCCGGAACCCCCTTCGTTGGCGGAGGGAACAACGTAAATTGCGCCAGACTCACCACATCATTGGCAAAAGAGCGGCGTACCCCTACGCTTGCCTCACAGGAGAAGTGCGTCTACCTGCAACTTGATGGAACGTGCAGAAACTTTCTCTTCTGGTGCAGCCATGGGCTGTTCAGGATCAGCTCCACCCCGCTGTCCCTGTAGAGCTCCTTGACTAACAAACGCTTTGGCGCGGTGGTGCAAGCGTGGATGTGCAGTTCCCAATCGCGGCAGGCGTGGGGGCTGCTTCATCGTAGTTGGCAGGGTGCCCCGTGGCGGCTTCAGCCCACATCAGGCACCGTACAGGCGCTTGGCCGCGTTGTTACGGTGATAGAACTTCTTGCTGGCGCAAGCGCTGTCGCTCCATACAGTCGTTCGTCCAGCCTCGTCGTCCGAACCTGACTATACATGGCGTCAACCGGCACGCAGCTCCCCCCCCAAAAAAAAACAGGTGGCTCCGGCGCCAACTTGTCAAGGCCACTTCTGTGGCAATTCAGAGTGCGGCCACCGCGACTTTTCACAAGACAAGGACCCCTTGATGCGCCCCAAACGGCGGCAAGGTGTCGTGCCATGGAACGCAATAACGGCGTTTACACAATTAACGGTTCCATCTCGGATCAAGTTGATCCACTCATGTCACAATGCTCTCCAACTCCAGCCTTGGAACAAAACAAGCCAAAAAGGGCACGTATTCCTCCAACACTTTGCACTGCGACCAGGCATCAACTTGCAAATGAAACCTTCCTTCTTCAGCTTGTAATACAGCTCCTCCACATGTCTGGAGTCTAATCCAAGCATGAAGAAAGTCTGGTCGTCAGCAATTATCTCCGGCAGAGAGGGCTCAAGCCTGCCCAGCATGAGCAGTTCATCCTTCCCTCCAAGCCTCGCATCCTGTACATCTTCCGTGAAGTCTAGGTCCGTCTCCCCCTTCATCTGTTGCACCACTTGCTGCAGGTGTGGCAACTGCCCACCCCATTCCATGGCCGACTCCCACGTCAGGCTGGGGCTTTTTAGCAGGCACCGCCGTGCCACGGCCAGGAGGCCCAGCCCCAGCTCCAGGAACCGCGTGCATCCCAGCCCTTGCATGGTGAGCATGGCCTCCTCAAAGCGCATCGGTCGCGTGTCGTCGTGCCCGCTCCAGTGCTCTGCGCTGGCCACCTGGCAGACCGGTTCCACCCGGACACGAAACGGAAAAAGACGCGGTGAAAAGGCGATCGTGTGTCCGGACAACAGGCATCTGCTTCTTATCAAACTCGCAGCCCGCAAACTGGGCAGCGCGAACAAAACGCAAACATACCTCACGGATGCCACTCGCAGTATCTTCTGGCAGCTCGGCAAAACAAGATGTGAACAACTGCAGAGTTGTACAACAAGAGCAGTCGCTCAGAGTCGCCACTTCCTGGCCTCCTGGCCGCACTCGGCGCCGGTGAGGCTGGACACCATCTGGCAATTTTGCGGCGCCAGCAGGTTGCTCTGCGCCGCGCGGTGCTGGACTGCTTCCTGTCAACATGCAAGGAACGACCTGCTGGGGTAGCTATCGGAATGCTGCGCCACGTGCCAGCGTGGAAGATCACGAACAACCACGATTCTTCCCAGCACAAGACGGAATCAGCGCATCATGTCATGAGTTGAGCGACACGTAAAATGAGTACTTAGTGTTGCACACACGATGGAACCAACAAAAACTTCTGCGATTGGCACGCTCGTGAGCCTTTCCTAGAAGATCGAAATTCGTTCTTTGGGTTGGCCTGTCGCCTGTGAGCACGGCCCGCCTTGACGCCGGCAACCAGTGGAGAGTGCATGGCGGCCGGGGCTCGGAGCTCCATGCACTTCACTCCACCGTGCTTGAGGAAAGTCAGGCTCCTCGGGGTTCGGTTTCCGCACCAAACAGGTTTGGAGAGAGAGCGGTTGTCAACATGCTGGTTCCCAAATCAAGCGCTTTCTATGAGCCCACCTTGTGCGCAGCGAATACTCTGCTGCTTCTGACATTGTTGAGAAGGCACTAGCGCGGCGCTTTGCTTGTCTTAGTGGTGCCCAAACGTTTGTTGGCTGCAGCCAAAGTTAACGGCAGTGACAAGAAATGCCAGTAGCGACAGTCTCGAACTCCACGAGCTCTTGAAAAATGCCCTGTAACACCACGCGCGTGGCGGTTCCCCACAAAACCCGCCACCTAATCCTGCGCTCTTTCCGCGTTCTTTGACTGCGTCCTTCCTCTGAGCCACACAAACCCCCTTCCTGCGCTTGGTTAGCGATGGTGCGCTTGTCCTTTGGCGGGCGCAGTCGCACGAGCTGCGCAAGGACTTGTGTGCAACATTTTAGTGCTCACACAACCTCCCCAAAATGAAGTGGGCAGCAGCACTTGAACGCCAGGCATGCCGTCACAACATCCCATACAACTAAGTGTATGAATGGGGGTAAAACAAGGTCACAGCGCTGCGAGAGACCGTGAAACCCCACAACACCATGACTGCGGCCACTTTGTGGCCAACACCAAGCCTATGGTAATTACCAGTGCGTTTTCAAGGCGCGTGCTGTGTTTCGCAGCCCATTTGTCTGACTTTCTGCCATTCTGAGCTTTTTGTTCTTTGCTTGAACGCATCTAAGGGCTCAGGCCAATGCAAGTTGATGTGTTAACACTTCTGGTAGTTTGACAATGATTCTCGACTCAAGCCAACGCAGTCCACATGGTGACGGTTCTGGCGGCTTCATCTGAAAAGTTAGCAGCAAGCGCAACAGACCTGTGGGCATAATGCCCAAGTGAGCAGTGTTCTAAACCCAGTTGCGGCCGAAGAGACATATCAAATTCCTTCCGCGAAGGCTTCCGAGCAGCTTGCGAGGCGTAAAAGGTTCCTTCCGCAAGAGGTTTGAAGAGGAAATCGCCTCCGCGTCGCTTCCGCGGATTGAGAAACGGGATTGCAGTTCGTTTTCGCTTCCGCGCGTGAAGGAAAAATACAATTTCTTGCTTTCGTGATTGAATCGTAGCCCTTCCGCGAAGCTTCCGCGAGTGCATAATTGAGAAACAAATTCCGCGAACCTTGCGCGGCGCTTGCGCGACCCGGGAAAAGTCAACATTTTGAAAACGATACTTCCTCCCGAATACAACTTTCAAGTGCAGGGGGTCTAGAACGTCACTCAAGTGCCACAGTCAGGTCGGGAAAAGGGCAGCACTGCCGGTGCGCGCGCGCTCGTGTGTGTGTGTGTTGTGTTGTGTTGTGTTGTGTTGTGTTGTGTTGTGTTGTGTTGTGTTGTCTCGAATTGCGTTGCGGGAGTGGGTGCAGTGTGCGAGCGCGGGCGCGGGCGCCTCGGGCGCGGGCGCCGCGGGCGCCTGGGGAGCGTGTGCGTGTGCGCGTGTGTGCGTGTGTGCGTGTGCGCGTGTGCGCGTGCGCGCGTGCACGCGTGTGCGCGTGTGCGAGTGGTGTGCGCGTGCGCGCGTGCGCGTGCGCGTTCGGGTGCGGGTGCGGGTGCGGGTGCGGGTGTGGTGTGGGTGTGGGTGTGGGTGTTGGTGTGGGTGTGGGTGTGGGTGTGGGTGTGTGTGTGTGTGTGTCTCTGTGTCTGTGTCTGTGTCTGTGTCTGTGTCTGTTTCTGTGTCTGTGTCTCTGTGTCTGTGTGTCTGTGTGTCTGTGTGTCTGTGTGTCTGTGTGTCTGTGTGTCTGTGTGTCTGTGTCTGTGTGTGTGTGTGTCTGTGTGTGTGTGTGTGTCTGTGTGTGTGTGTCTCTGTGCCCTGCGCCTGTGCTCGTGTCTGTGTCTGTGTCTGTGTCTCTGTCTGTCTGTCTGTGTTTGTGCGAGCATGCGTGCGCTCGTGTGTGTGTGTGTGCGCGAGGCGCGCGTGGCGGGCGAGCGAGCGTGCGGGCGCGTGCGTGGGTGCGTGCTCGCGAATGTGCTTGCGCGCGCTCAATCGGGCGGGCGAGCAGGCAGGCGGGCGGGCTTGCGGGTGGGTGGGTGGGTGGTCACACCGGAGAATCACTACGACATCAAGACCACCGCAGAAGAGAGAACCATGGACAGAACAATTCCTCGTTGCAGCTACATCACATCAACAGACCGTCCTGCAGCCCGCCGACACTCCCAAGAAAGACGCAGAGAAGCGCAGGCGAAAGATCACTGAACGCATCAGCACGCCAACCAACGTTTATAGACTATGACGGTTGATGAGGCAGAACGGGAATTTCACCAGGCCAAGTCGGATTATCAGTCATCACAAATGAGTACAACCATCCCTGAAAAGCCGCCTCACACAACGCGAGCCTCGCTGATGGGGATGTTCCTGATAACCCTTCCGTCCAGTTTCGGATCTTTCGCCAAACTTGCAGGATTTACCGTAAGCGCGAGGAGCATTTCCGACGATCGAAACTTTGAAGCGGCGGAGCGCTCACAGACTTCTTTTACTGTTGGCTGAAGAAGCGAGTCCAGGATCTTGGTGTGACCAGTTGTTGATCTTCTTGTTGCCTATCGGGAGCGTTGGCTGCGCCCGCCACACCGGACCTTTCCACATAAGGAAGTTTGCCTCCGGGTAGTGCTTCTTGGGATTGACATGACGCGTTCTTCAAATCCTTCAAATCAGACACTTCAAGTTCAAGCAAGCAAAAATCCTACGATCTGATAAAGGCGTTCATCGACGCAGGCATCGTCCTGAGGGCTTGGGGAGCAAGACTGAATTCCTCAACCTGGTGATTGCAAAAAGATACTCAGCGCGACTCGCTGGCCAGAAAAGTGCCAACACACCAAGAAACAGCAGGTCAGTAGCAGCCATTGGTCAAGTTGGAGGAGCAGCTCCCGCAGCATGGGCAAGAGTGAGGCCGGATTTCTCCAACAGCTCCTCAGCAAGTGTCCGTGACATTACCCGCCGCGTGCTTCAGGCCAAGACGGGATCATCGCGTGAACATGGCCTATCCTGACTGCATGGTGAAGTACGCGGTCGCCGGCGCCGGAACGGTTTCGGGGATGACCCATCAGCGACTATCAGGTTTCCTCTGCTTGACATGAGACTATCACGAGCGCAGGGACGGACAGCGGCTGTGTGGTCCAAGAGCAAATGCGAGACCAAGATAGTCGGAAAGATATCAACAAGCAGGGTTACAACGGGTACGACTACCACAAGGGCTATGACCCCTCGGGATGGAAGGACTACTGCGAAAGCTGGCGCGAAGGGTGTTCATCGGCAAGAACTGCCCTCAAGCACTGACCATTCTCCAGCTCGAAACATGCGATGGCAGTCGACATCCTCGCAAAATTCTTTGTGTTGACCTCATCGTCTTCAAGATTCTTCCGAATGCGATATCAACTTCATCATCTATAAGGGAATTTTCCGGAAGTGAGTAAATCGATAGTTTCACAAGGACACAGCTTGTCTCAGCACTTATTCATACATTGTATTGACTATGAGTTGCGTGGCAGGCGCAGCGCTTTTGCAAGGTCAAGTACAGAATTCGTGGCAGGCGCAGCACTTTCGCAAGGTCAAGTACAGATTTGGTGACAGGCGCAGCACTTTTGCAATGTCAAGTGAAGATTTCGTGGCAGGCGCAGCTCTTTCGCAAGGTCAAGTACAAACAGAGAGATAGATAGAGACAGAGATAAAACCAGAGATAGGTGGATAGACTGAGACAGATAGATAGCTACAGATAGAAAGATAGCCAAATAGATACATAGATAGATAGATACAGATAGGTAGCTAGATCTAGATAGATAGAAAAATCAATGTAATATAGATGGACAGATGGACAAATGAGCATTGTTTTTTTAGAGGTTCAGGCTGGGGAGGCTACGCGGGGGGCTTCGCGGGGCCAGAATTTGTGGAAGGGTTGGCTTCGCGAGGCTTCGCGGCAAGACTGTGGCTTCGCGGAGTGGCTTCGCCGGGCTTCGCGGATGTTTGTTCCACAAACATCTCTCACATTTGCGCCCCCATGTTGTTGAATCAAGTTGAGTCCATGCGAAAGGGTTCGATGAAAGGCGGCAAGAGAGGCATTGAGCTTCAGGACTAGGGGACATGGCTGGGCCTCACAGGGGCGGAGCATGGAAGTTGGACCGCGGTGGCTTCGCGGAGGCTTCGCGGGGGCTTCGCGGGGGCTTCGCAGAGGCTTCGCGAAAACGTTCCATCGTTTCTAGCAAAACCGAGCCTGAAACGCACAGTGCTCTTCCGGTCGTCTTCCCGTAATCTTCCTGTAATCTTGTCGTAGCCTGCTGACTCTAAACATCAACCTTTGGAATACTACTGCCATGAAAGCGCACAACACACTTGCCATGAAAGCACGCAATACGCTCAAACGACGAAGTGGCTTCGCGAAGTGGCTTCGCCTGTGTCAATGTTACCGGGCTACGCGAAGTGGCTTCGCGGGGCTTCGCGGTACACAATGTATCGCACAAGTGCCTTCGCGGAGCTTTTTGGAGTTCCCCACGAAGCTAAAATCCATCATCTGAGAAAAAAGCGCTGCTCAAATGGACAGATGGACAGATGGATAGATGGATAGATGGATAGATGGATAGATGGATAGATGGATAGATGGATAGATGGATAGATAGATTAGATAGATTAGATAGATAGATAGATAGATAGATAGATAGATAGATAGATAGATAGATAGATAGATAGATAGATAGATAGATAGATGGATAGATAGGTAGATATATAGATAGACATACATATATATATATATTATACATAGATAGATAGATAGATAGATAGATAGATAGATAGATAGATAGATAGATAGATTAGATTAGATTAGATTAGATTAGATTAGATTAGATTAGATTAGATTAGATTAGATTAGATTAGATAGATATATTAGATAGATTAGATGGATTAGATAGATTAGATAGACTAGATAGATAGATAGATAGATAGATAGATAGATAGATAGATAGATAGATAGATAGATAGATAGATAGATAGATAGATAGATAGATAGATAGATAGATAAGACAGATAGATAGATAGACAGATAGATAGATAGATAGATAGACAGACAGACAGACAGACAGACAGACAGATAGATAGATTGAGAGAGAGTGAAATTGCAAGACAGATAGGTAAATAGACAGATAGATTAGATAGATACATAGATAGATAGATAGATAGATAGATAGATAGATAGATAGATAGATCTAGATAGATAGATAGATAGATAGAGATATAGAGAGAGATAGATAGATGAAAAAGAGAGATAGGTAGACAAACAGAGAAATACATAGCCACATAGATACATAAATAGCCACATGGATAGATCGATAGATACATAGATAGATAGATAGATCGATAGATAGATAGATAGATAGAATAGATACATGGGTAGATAGATAGATACAGACAAATAGATTAGATATCTTTGCTGGCAGAAAGAAAGAAAGAAAGAAAGAAAGAAGGAAAGAAAGAAATAAATAAATAAAGAAAGAGAGAATGACAAAGAAAACGAGAAACAGTGAAAAGGAAGATGAAGAGAACAATAATCAATACAATAATGAGAAAGATAACTATAGTTTTAATATGTTTGAAACTTCCGGCTTTGCCGGCTCTACTGGTATATCCATCAAGACTGCCTAACGACGCCGGCAATTGGGCAAATTCGGTAATTACGGGGCAAGAGCCTAGGTCCAAGAGAGTGGGCCAAGAACCAATGGGGCATTCGATCCAGGCCGCGCTTACTCTGTGTTGATGCCTAGAAAGAACTGTTACAAATCAGAGCGGCAACATACTTTCAAAATCTTTCAACTAACTGTATGCTGAAGGGCGGAGAGTGGACCACGAGGCTAAACAGGGCAGCAATGCTAACCTGTAGCTGTTACGCATAGGGTCTGTGCGTCTCCTCTTAGCTACAGTGTCCATAGGGTTGGTTTTTCTCATGATGTAACCCCTGATTCCCTGATTGCTCCTCACGGGAGCTCGCACCTCGCCACAGCAGTTTCGGCCGTCAACCTTCACAATGAGGTCAGAAGGGAGAACCTCATAGCCGGGATGCGCCTCATTCCAATCGCGAACTATCCCAGCCTCAATCTTCGCAACCTGAAAAATCCGGCTGAACTGGCCAGGACTTGCTGTCACATCACTGAGGACTTCAACCTGCTCGATTCCTAGTTCTCCTTCAGCGTCGAAGTGAATGGTGAATTGCCGCATGCGACTGCAAAAGATTCTCACACAGGGTTCAGGGCCGCTGATCACCGTGTCAAACTGACTGTTGAACCCAGAAATGACAACTTCAGGCATGCTGGCAGCAGCGAGCTCTTCAGCAACATCTGAAGCCGTTGCCTTGATGGTCATCATGCAGCCAGCTTCATCGCGTGCAAGCTTCTTCAATGCATTTGCCCTGACCAGCAAGATGCCCATAGCATCCTGCAATGACATAACTCCGGCTGCCACAGCCGCAGCGTATTCTCCGTTGCTGTGGCCCAAAACCACATCGGGAAAAAGCCCCATGGCCACAATGGATTGGAAAAAGGCATACTGGAGCACAAAGATCCAAACAAGCTCATCAGGCGAAGGCTCGGACGAAAATCGCCCAAACACAAGGCTCCGAAACTGGTCCAGGCTTACACCATCAGATATCGCGCAACTGTAGCAAGCGTGGCAGTTTTCCACTGCCTTCTGAAAAGCAGCATCAGACTGATAGAGAGCCTTCCCTACTCCTCCACGCATGCCAAGAGGGCTGAACAGAAAGCCCACCTTACCTTTCTCAGCGCCGCCGCGGAATCCATGTTCTCCCTCCTTCAAAGTCCGTTCCTCCTGCACCTCTGCCATCCTCTCTGCGCTGGAGCCTTCTGCCAGCTCCAGACTAGCGCCACCCAATAAGGCCATGCGCTTTGCTGGCAGGTGGCCTGTCGCGCAGTAGAGACCTTCAATCTGTTTAATGCGTGCAAGTAAGGCCTTCGGGCCAGCGCAGTGCAAGTGGGGGAATGCGGCATAGCACAGCCTGGCAACTTCCTGTTGAAGCTTGTCCATGCTGCGCCGTGCCTCAAGCACTCGCTGAGAATCTTCATCTGTGATCGAGAGTGGAAGAAACACTTTCTGAAGCGCTGCTCGCATCGCCGGCACGCAGCTAGAACCAAGCGACGCATGCCAGCCACTGCTCGTCGGCTCTGTCGCACAAAGCTCTTGACTGACTTGATGCACCGCCTCTGGAATCGGAGAGGACTCGATGTGACTCTGCAGCAAAGGACCATCAGATTTGCAAGGCAATGACGAAGCCTCAGTCAAAATATTGCACCGAGCTTCCATGGCAGAGACTCCAAACTCCCGCTCTCTCTCTCTCTCTCACACAGAAAACAAACAATCACACAACTCAGGCGGCCGCTTCAGGCACAACTGGCATTGGAGAGGACTCGATGTGACTGTGCCGCAAAGGACCATCAGATTTGCAAGGCAATGACGAAGCCTCAGTAAAAATATTGCACCGAGCTTCCATGGCAGAGACTCCAAACTCCCGCTCTCTCTCTCTCACACACACAAAAGCAAACAATCACACAACTCAGGCCGCGGCTTCAGGCACAACTGGAATTGGAGAGGACTCGATGTGACTTTGCCGCAAAGGACCATCAGATTTGCAAGGCAATGACGAAGCCTCAGTCAAAATATTGCACCGAGCTTCCATGGCAGAGACTCCAAACTCCCGCTCTCTCTCTCTCACACACAGAAAACAAACAATCACACAACTCAGGCGGCCGCTTCAGGCACAACTGGAATTGGAGAGGACTCGATGTGACTGTGCCGCAAAGGACCATCAGATTTGCAAGGCAATGACGAAGCCTCAGTCAAAATATTGCACCGAGCTTCCATGGCAGAGACTCCAAACTCCCGCTCTCTCTCTCTCTCTCACACACAGAAAACAAACAATCACGCAACTCAGGCGGCAGCTTCAGGCACAACTGGAATTGGAGAGGACTCGATGTGACTTTGCCGCAAAAGACCATCAGATTTGCAAGGCAACGACGAAGCCTCAGTCAAAATCTTGCACCGAGCTTCCATGGCAGAGACTCCAAACTCCCGCTCTCTCTCTCTCTCTCACACAAAAAAACAAACAATCACACAACTCAGGCCGATTCAGACACAACTGGCATTGGAGAGGACTCGATGTGACTTTGCCGCACAGGCCCATCAGATTTGCAAGGCAATGACGAAGCAGTAAAAATATTGCACCGAGCTTCCATGGCAGAGATTTTAAACTCCCGCTCTCTCTCTCTCTCACACACAAAAGCAAACAATCACACAACTCAGGCGGCCGCTTCAGGCACAACTGGAATTGGAGAGGACTCGATGTGATTTTGCCGCACAGGCCCATCAGATTTGAAAGGCAAGGACGAAGCCTCAGTCAATATATTGCACCAAGCTTCCATGGCAGAAACTCCAAACTCCCGCTCTCTCTCTCTCTCTCACACACAGAAAACAAACCATCACACAACTCAGGCGGCCGCTTCAGGCACAACTGCAATTGGAGAGGACTCGATGTGACTTTGCCGCAAAGGACCATCAGATTTGCAAGGCAATGACGAAGCCTCAGTCAAAATATTGCACCGAGCTTCCATGGCAGAGACTCCAAACTCCAAACTCCCGCTCTCTCTCTCTCACACAAAAAACAAACAATCACACAACTCAGGCGGCCGCTTCAGGCACAACTGGCATTGGAGAGGACTCGATGTGACTGTGCCGCAAAGGACCATCAGATTGGCAAGGCAATGACGAAGCCTCAGTCAATATCTTGCACCGAGCTTCCATGGCAGAGACTCCAAACTCCCACTCTCTCTCTCTCTCTCACACACAGAAAACAAACAATCACACAACTCAGGCGGCCGCTTCAGGCACAAGTGGAATTGGAGAGGACTCGATGTGACTGTGCCGCAAAGGACCATCAGATTTGCAAGGCAATGACGAAGCCTCGGTCAAAATCTTGCACCGAGCTTCCATGGCAGAGACTCCAAACTCCCGCTCTCTCTCTCTCTCACACAAAAAACAACCAAACAATCACACAACTCAGGCGGCCGCTTCAGGCACAAGTGGAATTGGACAGGACTCGATGTGACTTTGCCGCACAGGCCCATCACATTTGCAAGGCAATGACGAAGCCTCAGTCAAAATCTTGCATCGAGCTTCCATGGCAGAGACTCCAAACTCCCGCTCTCTCTGTCTCTCTCTCACACACAGAAAACAAACAATCACACAACTCAGGCCGCGGCTTCAGGCACAACTGGAATTGGAGAGGACTCGATGTGACTTTGCCGCAAAGGACCATCAGATTTGCAAGGCAATGACGAAGCCTAGGTCAAGCGCTGCACAGCTCATGCACATAAAACTGCAAATTCTCAGGACACTGGCAAAATCAGACATGTTCGGCTCCTTCAAGCTGAGCTTGCGGCTGGCCCCTCAGAGCATCGCGCATAAAGCAGTAAGTCACCGTTCTCCTCGCATGAGCATGCGGCTTCGTTCCCGTAGAAGGTTGTGGCAAGCGCAAGCAGAGAGCTAAGCTGGATCCCCATTCCTCACTGTGGACTTGCGCAAGTCCACACGTGGAACAAGGCCGAGTTTCTTGTCAATAACCGTTTTCCCGGAAATCAGCCTTATTTCCGTGCATTTGGACTTACGCAAGTCCAAACCTTTTTCCCGAAAATCGGCCTTAAAACCGTACGGGTCAAATGGGCACAAGTGCACGGGCAGGGGTGCGAGTAGACATATGAGCGTACGAGCGGACGTAGGAGTGGACGAGCGTGTGTACGAGTGGAAGTATGAGTGCGCGAGAGGTACGAATGGGTGTATGAGTCGGTGTGCCAGTTAGTACAGTATGCACAGGTTCGGGATTCCACATGTGCAAAGATACCTACCCATGTGAATGCCATTTCTGTTTTGACAATGCCGCTGCCGCATGGAGTGCAAGTGCAATCTTGGTCTGACAACAAACCACTCAAACAGTGACAAGCAGGGCTTGCAGCCCGCTCCGGTTTGTTCGGACTCTCCCACATCCTCAGGTCATCCATTTTCCACCACATGTTGTTCTTGACCTGGCGTCCAACGGAAATATGCATCAGTCTGACCAAAACAAGTTGATCTGGAGCAGCTGCAAAGCAAAGCAACTGCTGAAAGAGTCATGTCATCCCCCAACTATCACTGATACTGATCACCCTGCTGCCCCAAACCTCTTACATGAGACGCCGCGACGCTCGAACACTTTTCCCAGCTGCGACGCGGGAAGCTCCAGCACTGAACAACCAGCTCGAACGGAGCCTGAAACTCCTTCGGATCCAACCGTGACTGAATCACACTGACCAAACTCAAATGTCAAACAAAATCAAGCGCGGACCTTGCTTTCTGCATTGAAGAAATTCATGCGTATGTTTGACACAACCCAAGAAAGAGAAAGAACACTGGACTCCGGATCCCAGATCATGGCCAACGGCCACCTCGGCTAGTTTTGTAGCTTAGAGTTCTGAATTAAGGAGCGGCAGAAAGCAAACTAAAGTAACCAAAGGCATTCACGTAAACCATTCTCAGCTCTTAAGCTCCTCGACTCCGCTTGAGGATCTTCAGTCCACAGGTCAGCGTATAAATAACGTTGACATGACTGACCGGCTGCTTCAGAGTCGGCACGTGTTCATGTTCAAGCTGTAGGCTTTGACCCCGTGCGAAAGTCCCTCTCGAAGCGACCCACGGCACGTTGAACTCAAGTTTCCCCCAAAACCTGTCTGGGGTTGGGTTCTGGTATAATTGTCTAACCGCGAAGGAGCGAGGATTGTGGGCCGAGGCGCAGCGGTAACGAGGCAACACCCTCGTGTGAAAAAATTGCGTCGTTGTGCCTCATGGCCCCTGGCTGGTTCACGCCGTCAAATTGGCACATTTTTTCCGCGACTGTCCATCAGCATTTTGCCCTCAAACCTGCGCCGCTTGAAGCTTCGTGTGGTCTGGATCTCAGTTTCTTTTGCGCGGGGTGGAAGAGTTTTACTTCGCGCGCCTCCGCCGAGCCGTGGCTCGAGAAAAAGAACAGCGCACGCCTTGCTGTAGATAGCTTCTGTCTATGAATGACACTGAGGACGTGGGAGGGATCGCGATAAAGATTACGCGGCGATGAATAGTTCAGGAAAACACCCGACACGTCGCCCAGATCCAGATCTAAGGCCGACCCCCCCGGCATGGAGCGAGCGAGGCCTTCGGCCGTATCCCAACTTTGGTATCGTACTGAATGTCACTAGGCCCCTACACATCAGATTTGAGCTCCTTCCTAGAGCCTCAATGTCACTAGATTGTTTGTACAGAATCTCCTTCACAGAAACCTGGCGATCTCCATGAGCATCTCGAAAATTGCAAAATTCCTTTCGGCTTTGTTCTTCTCTGCCCTTGCCTCATTGTGTTCTTGCTCCCGGGCCATTGACTCGCGCTTGCACTCGCCGATGCGTGCACCGGTACAAGCAGTAAGCTGGCAAGCGCATAACTGATTACAATGGCAACCAGCTGGGAGTGTAGCCAGCCGACCATGGAAATGCGGAAATCGGCGCGAACGTCAGGGAAAAAAATCCAAGCAAAGCAGTCTGCTTTTGAGAAACCCACCTTCCTGGCTCAGCTACCCGGTGCGGCTGCAAGGCAACCGGGTTTGCAATCACAAGCCGAGCGCACGTAGGCATGATAATGCCCATGCCCGTTCAGGCCACTATGCTCCTCAGACAGGACGAGCAAAAGAACTACACAATAATGCGCGGCCAATAGTTAAGCCAGTATGTGCACGTTGAGCAAGCTGAACTGAAGGGCATCTACATATCTTATTGAAACTGTACAACTGAGTTGTCAGCAAACAGTGATCAAGGACCGGAATCTCAACAAGCCTTTAGCGGAATGAAGTTGTTGTCGCTCTGCTCATGTCCCACTTGATCTCTGCGGCTCTTTGTCTATTCTCTGGCTGAGAGTTGGCTGCCAAGGCTCTGCAACACCGAAGAGCATGTACATTGGAGCTTCGTCCTGGAAGAAGTGAGCACGCTCAAGGCTAATGCTTGTTATGTCCCTGTCCTTGATTTTAAGCCGTTCTGGAAACCTCAGCGGATTATGATCACCGCGCTGGACGGTTGGACGGGCTTTCCTTTTCCTAAAACCGAGGGCTGGCACAAATGCATTTCATTGTTGCGAATGAAACTAACTGCTCCCTGTGCCTCCATGTTTGGGCCCAGGCTCCACCGGACAATGGACTTGACGATCCTCTGTGACCTGCAATCCATGTTGAGAAAGGGCATCTGACGACATCAAGCAAAGTCAGAAGATCCCGGCCATCCGATTGATCCATATGGACAAAAGGCGTGGCCAGCTCTTCACAGTGGGATACCGCTCAACAGCAGTCCTCACAGGTTGTGTTCCCTGCAATGCGGTGTCTGCCGGTCTGCGCGGGATGAGTGAAAGCTCCGCAGTCAGAAAACAAACAAAAGCCCCCCCGCCAGCCCATGATGAGCAACACAAAAACACACAAATGTGCAACTCCAAGCCGTAAGCGGCGTCCGGTCGCAGGGTCCTGTCATTGTGACATTTGCTGCATCTCCAGGGACTGATGCGCTCTGTCCTGACCACCGAGCTCTGCGGTGCAGGTGCAAGTGGTGCGCATGAAGCAGGCACGAAGACTCTTACCCCAAAGCCTGAAGCACTGCGCGTGCAGCAGGTCTTCCAATTTAAAAGCCTGCGGCTGAACTTTTCGCTGCCTGGCGACCCACGGACCCTGCTAACTGTAGTCGTGCTCTCGCTTTCACTCTGCGCCTCGTGGTCTTCACCATCGTCTCGTCAACAAGGCTGGCAGCGGGCGCGCAAATCGAGGCTCCAACTCTGGACAGATTCTGAGCAATCCTAAAGGAGCCTGGCCTCCATAATATGAAAGAGCCGAGCAAATCACAATCATCACATCCGATGTCACTGTTGACTGCTGGCTGCAACATGAATCTGTGTCACATCGCACCGCATCGCATTTGGAGTAGTACCACCTTCGCGCATCAGAGCTGGAATCATCCCAGCGCGTCAAGCATGCAACATGAATTCGCGCAAGCCACAGCAGGCAGCGCTGGGCCTTCTGCGCCAAAGGTGTGTTTAATAGACAAAGACCGAGGTCGCATGAATTGAGGGATAGCAAACCAGTGGCACGCTAAAGTTCCTCGCAACTGCACATGTGCAATTGATACAGGCGTGGTATACGCCGTACCTTTAGATTGACACCATACACTTACATCAAAAGCACATCACACGCGCAGCATGCAAAGTACTTGTTCACACTCGTCGCTCAGAGCCAAGTTGTGCTTGGCATCTATCGGATAGAATCTGTCGGTAAGCATCACAACCTTTCATAGACCACCCACGCTTGCAGCAAAGAACCAGTTGTTCAGCGCTTGGCCTGGCCCAAGGAACCTACCAGGGAGGTCATGCGAGCAGATAGCTTGGGTGTCATGGACACCAGGCTTGATGATTTACAGGTGGTTCTGCCGTTGTTGAATTCTTAATTCGAGGAGGAGTTGCAGGCCCACATATCTGCAGGACGGTCGCCACTAAGGTCGAGGTTCCCGACTCGAAGCTTTGGGCGCACCAACTGTTGTCCCGTGAGATGTTGTCATCGCTGACTGAGACGTGCACAGGCATGGGTGGTGTTGGCCAAGGAGCTGCCGCAGCAGGCGTGATGGTCCACGTCCAGAATGAGTTGCACACACGCACACTAACTCCATCTAACTCCCCTTGCAACGGTGATAGTTGGACACATCACAGCCTTGGATACAGTTGAGAAAATCGGAAGCTGGAGGTTGTCAAACAATCCTTTCAGCAGGATGCGCATGCCAACCTTTTGCACAGCTTGGAGGTCAACGCCAAGGTCAGGACAGCAGAGCTCCCAGTTTTCCAGGGGTGCTCTGGGCTGAATACTTCTGGCTATCATCTGCGGCGGTTCTTGGATGCGTTGAGAATGTATTGAAATTGCGAATTAAGCAGTCCAGAAGCGGTTGCAGGCTGGAAGATGTTGGGAATTGCCTGACATGTGCAAAAGAGAATATGTCGATGGTGGTGCTAAGGATTCCGCAGTTCTGCGCCTCGCAACCTCAGCTGCGGCTGTTTGGAGATCAGGGGTTGGTGGAGGAACCTCGGATTGCTTCCATACAAAGGATGCCACTGTGCGTCTACGACACACAGTCGGGAAGGTGGGAGACGTGGGAGGACGTGGGGCAACAACTGCGGCGATCCGATCAGCAGCTGAACTACGTGAATTTCAACCTTACTACTGCATCCCAGCAGTAAGCGTCCAATGATTAAACCAGCTGCGTGCCCGCAGCTGGTTGTAAATTCATTTGCTTCCTTGGCTCAACGACAGGCAGCTCAGCCTGCTAGTTGGAAAACAGCCCTCAAATCTTGTTGCCGTCCATGTTCAGGCGAAGCGACTGCGTGTCACGCTCCTTGTGCACGTCGCGCAAATTGCGTCTTCCAACTGCCGTGTGTCCGCGTGCGTCTGCCTTTGCAAATCCAGCCTCTGTAGGTCAGTCTAGCTGCGGCCACGCAAATAGCAGTTGAATATGCAGCAAGCGTCTTGGCGAACCCAAGAGAGCGCGGATTGGTCTCAATCCTAGCCGGCTATACAAGGACTCTGGCATGCTCTCTGCTCGAGACACAACCGACGCCAAGTTCAATGGAGCGGCTCAAAGTGCAGCCTTGCGGGGGCTGAGTCAGGAAACTGGGATGAATCTGGATCCCAGTGCATCATCAGGGTTACCTTGCTGCTATGAATTTGTCGTTTTTTTGCAGATACTAATAGTGTTTTGCTGTTTCAAGCGATGTTGGAATCTGCCTGTTAGGGGTCTGGGTGGGGCCAAGTGCAGTGATACGTTGAGGAACTGTTTGAATTTGCAAAAATGAGTTTTTTGCAACTTCACGGAGCAGTTACTGCGAAACATCCCCTGCATTATCGTGTTTTTGGAAGTCTATTGTTGGGGCATTTGAAGGGGGTTGCTAGTTTTTGCTTTTGATGGTTGATTTTGGGAAATATCAACAAATCCTGGTGTTTTGGACTTTTTGTGCATTCCCAGCATTCCCGACATTTCTGGTATTTCAGTGTTACGCGAAGATTGGGTCTGTTCCTGCACATTGTGTGGTTGCATCCCTTGCATTTCCAGCATCCCCAGCATCTGGGACATGTTTCCTGACTGAAAATTAGGAAAGTGCCAAGAAGGCCTTGTTGTGACACTTTCAGACTTCCACGAAAAGGAAAAAAAGGTCATAAAATCCCTTGCACCCACTGGCGACGGCGGATCGCGTAGCGATTTCAATACAGTCCCATCACAAGTGGATCATCCGAATACCTAAGGCGCCGCCGGTCCGGTGAGACGCGCAACGCCACCTGTCGGAGGGAAGCAATATTGGTTCCGCTCGAAGCTGCACGTGTCAGCTGGGAGTTCTTGTGGTCCTTGATCCGCGTGTCGCAGCGGCAAGGCCGAATGCCCCTGACCACACCCATGCCATATCAGGTTCGCAGGGCTTGCGGGAGGTTGGTATCCCAGAAGAAGTGGGCGAAGCCAAGAAGCCCTTGCGAAAGATGCAGCCCTTGCAGAAAAGATGGCGGGCCACTCCCGGTGCGTGACTCCTTGGGCATCTGCAGTCACTTTCCGAGTGAAAATGGAATCACATCGAGTTTGCTTTTCTTCAGAATGATGAGAATCACGTCAGGCAGACGGAAACCAGCTACGACAAACGCAGCTGGTGGGTGTCCATGTGCGCTCCGTTGTGCATGGAACCTACTGGGAGTGCGCCTCGGCAATCTTTCGCCAGGGAAAGCTGACCAGAAGGGACTCCAGATTCCACGGTGGCCCTCCGGGTCCGGGTGTGCGCCTCGCAAAGCAGCTTACTCTAAGTCTTCCTAAAAGTTCAACTCACAACGATTGTAGCCTGGCATTGGCATGTGATTTGACGACCCTCTCAGTCCAGGTACACCGCAAATGATTGGGACCATGTCTTTGACCGTTACGCTTGGAAGACACGTGTGTTTTCGACTAATGTTTTCTACTCCATTGAGTTCCGAGCATTAGAGAGAACTGGGGCTTAGGGTTGGCTTTGGGGCAGGATTGAAGCCCAAGCCAATACAACGCCCACAAGCAACAAAAACCTGAAAAACCAGAAAAAAAAGGCAGTAACTGCTCGGAGGGGCCGTGAGTTCTCCTTGTAGAAACATGTATCGTCTATCAAAGAAAACGAAACAGGCAGCGGTAGCAACTTTGTTCTGCGAGTCGTCTGCTCTGCTCCGGCCAGGCTTTGCGCAGCAGCTGAGTGCGCTTTTAGGCGTGCGCGCAGTGCTGTCAGTAGGCATGCACGCGACGCTGAGCGGGTGAACGCAAAGAAATTCCCTCCAACATCGACTGAAACAGACAGTACTCAATACTTGTTGATCAAGCCTCCAAAGATGGAAAACACCGGCGGGCCTCACACAAAGGTGCAAAGACTCTTCCTCCTTCTGATGCTGGCTGCTGCAATGGCAGCAGTTCAAGGTGTGCCTGTCCACGCTACGGCTGCGACCGAAGCACGAGCCCTGCCTCAAAGTACACTGGCTTGTCTGCAGTCATGGTAACGCTCATGCATCTTGAAGCAATGCCGTCTTTGCAGCAGCGCGCGCGTCATCTGCAACATCTGCGTGTCTCATTTATCTCGATGCACTCATGTTCGTTGCAGAGTCAGGCCAGCGCCTTGTGACAAAATTAAAGCCTGTGTCAACACCCTCTTCCTCCATCCTGCGCATGACGCTCTGTACTCTTTCGCGAAGACACACACAGAGACACCTCCTACGTTTTCAGGACAGGGCTGTTGGGCCTACAAAGATTTACCAAAATACTGAGTCGCAAGACAACACTTTCATCTATCGTCATTCAGAACTATCGAACGATCCAAAATACTTTCGTGAGTCGCTGACTTGCGTGGCGCGCAAGCATTCTTAGCCACGCGCAGTCTCCTGCTGAGGAAATACAAAAAGGCAGCACATGCGTCAGCCTGGCAGCGGCCCAGGATGCATTGCTTGAATGTCAACTGCGGAATGCCTGATGCCATGGAGCGTAGTCCTCTCCCCCCTTCTCACGCATCAGCCTGTCACTTGCGAACACTTCAGCAAACTTTTGGCCAAGCTGAAGCCCTATACAACCCTGCGCAGCACTCCCGCAACGTGTCAGCAGAACAGCTGAATCTTGCGCTTGGCATGGAACTCCACGGCATCGTGCGTTGCCCCACCAGGAATTTGTAGCGCCTGCTAGCTAGCACAGAATGGAAGCCACCTAGACAATTGAATTGTCCTACGCCAGCTTGGACACATTGTCGAAATCTCTGCGCGACTAACAACTTGATTGCCGGTGGTAAAGCATTGCACTTAGCATCTCACACGTGTCGTCTGACACAGCTCACGCACACAAACACACAGAGGCTGTTTGGCTTGTCTTTCTTTCAACTGTTTTTGCCATGCTCGCGCATGTTTGGAAAGCTGGTGTCTTGCTGCTTGACCCCCAACCAGTTGATGCGTAAATGAAATATACAAATAGGGCAACAGTGGCAACAAGCGAGAATACTATCCAAAGCAACAGCTTCTGCAAACTAAACATCCAACATCATGCATGGTCCGGGGATAAACCTTCGGCAGCTGTGATACTCCGCTTGCTCTTGCGGCAACCCTTGCAATCGCGCTGGTTGGCTAACAGAGTATCCGATTCTTTGCCGAAAGGACCCGCAGAGACGGAGACGGAAACCTCTTTCCCGCATTGCCAAAGTTTGTTCGCTCAGTCATATTTGTTGAGATTATTGCAAACAACGCGCGTCCATTGACCACATGCGCATGCTTCAGGGCGGACTGTTCAGTTGGGCGGGCGCAAACAAAGCGGACCGTTAACTAAATGCGCGTGTTCAATCAAGGGTGGAATTTTCACTGGCAGGTTCATTGGGTCTTTGGTTGCCCGGGCATCTGTTCAACGCGCGTCGGTTAGCCACATGCATGTGCTCAAGTGTTGAATGTTCACTTGGCAGGTTCGTTGGCGTTTGTTGGAATTCATGCAAACAACGCGAGCCTGCAAGCTACACGAATGCGTTCAAGGATGGAATGTTCGCCTGGCATGTTCGTCAAGTCGCCTGATGGAATTCGTGAAAACCACGCGGGTCCGTTCACTACATGCACGTGTTCAA